GAAGCTCTTGAGTAGTTTACTTCTGAACTTAAGGGGGCTTCCTGGCAGCATGGAACCTTCGCCTCCCTTTAGAGCAACCTATGTCTTGAGGAGCTTCCTTCCCAGATGGAATATTTCATCTCACAGGAAAATGCTGCAAACGGCAAGGAGATTGGGCTTGTTCCTGCAGGGTGCCCTCACTTGCTCTGACTGGTTAGTTCTGTGGGACATGGGGATTCCACAGGACTAAGGCAGACACAGACCACCAAATTGGATCCACCATATCACTCTGGAGACCTAATTCATTACATGTGCAGGCATGCTGGACAGGTTGGGAAATGCTGGCAATGCTGGCATACTAAGGAAGTCTCATGAATTCTATTTTCTTCTCTATTACATTATCCAATTTTCTACATGAAAAATGTCTTATTTTTTGGATGGTGGATGTTTTATTAAAAAAATAATTCCTCTGGAGCAGAGATGGGTATCTCTAGGCCTTTATTTACTCATATTTACTCTATGGCAGTTGTTCTCAACCTGTGGGCCATGACCCCTGTGGGGGTCTGAACAACCCTTTCAGGGTTGCCTAAGACCATGGGAAAACACAAAATGTACATTATGATTCATCACAGTTATGAAGCAGCAATAAAATAGTTTTATGGTTGGGGGTCACCACCACATGAGGGACTATACTAAAGTGTCACAGTATTAGGAAGGTGAGAACCATTGCTTTAGGGATATGGGATGGATAGACTTTAGCCTCAGAGGATGGATAGGCTGTGGATCCGACCCTTAGCTTCCTCCCTGCCCGTAATTTGCTGGCATCATTGTAATAAGCAATCCATTCCTGACACTCATCCATTGGATGGGAATGGTTTTGTTTCCCTGTGGGCTTCTGGGAGGAAGCGATATGTTCAGAAGATGGAGAAATCTTCTGCTTTGGCTTCCTCAAGGGGGGGGCCTGTGTGTTGGTGCCTTAACAACAGTGAACTTTTGTGTCCTCAGGAGGGGAGGGAGGGAGAGAGGGAGGGATGGAGGGAACTAAGGAGGAAGGGAAAGGGGAGGGACAGAGGGAGGAAGGGAGGGGGGAGGAAGAGAGGAAGGGGGAAGGGAGAAAGGGAGGGAGAGAGAGGAAGGGAGGGAGGAAGAGGGGGGAAAGGATGGGAGGGAGAAAGGGAGGGGGAGGGAAGGAGAGAGGGAGGGGGATGAAGGGAGGGGAAGGGAGGGGAGGGAAGGAGAGAGGGAGAGGGAGAGAGAGGAAGGGAGGGGAGGGAAGGAGAGAGGGAGAGGGAGAGAGAGGGAGGGAGGAGGAGGGGGAAAGGAAGGGTGGAAGGGGGAGGGAGGGAGGAAAGAAGGGAAGGAGGAAGGGAGGGAGGGGGACAAAGGAAGGGGGAGGGAGGGAGGGAGGAAGGAAGGAGGGACAGAGGGAGGGGGAGGGAGGGGAAGGAAAGGAGGAGAGGGAGGGAGGCTGTTGTTACTGGATAAAGCACCCTTGGATGAGGATGTGGGTAAACAGCAGATGGGATGGAGTCTTGGAGTCACTGCACAGCACTTCCCTCCTTGAGGGAAACCCTAGACCTCCACAGCTGCACCAGAAGCTGAGCTGTGACCACATAATTGTGTCGGAGAAAGACTGCAGTCACTGGGAAGAGATGGCTGGTACTGTGTGGCACAGGGTGACTCCCGCATTGGAGAACGCAGGAGGAGGAACAAGACATCCTGGCAGAGGACCTGGCAGAGTGACTGGTATGTGCTTGGCATCTTGGACTGTGGCAGTGCTGGCTAAGGTGGCATGGGTTGGGCTGTCTATGCCTCATGTGGAGCCCTGGGTCTTCTAGAAATGAAGGGCAGGCTGAGCAAGGAGGTTCAAGCTAGGAACCCTAGAATTTCAGAGGCTGAAAAGGGGGTCACCATGAGTTGAGTCCAGCCTGAGTTACAGAGTGAGACCCTGTTTCAGAAAGCTGTAATCCTAGTTTTCAAGAAGCTGATGCAGGAGGACTGCCCATGGGTTCTAGGGCACTGTCTCAAACAACCAAAACCACAAAACAATTCTCATAAGAATTAGTGGCAGGGTTGTTAAGGCTACTCCATTGCAGAAAAGCCAGTGCGCTTGGGAGGGGCCAGAGGCTTCTGAGACTCACAGAAATTCTACTTCTTCCTGGGAACTGTCCTGAGCCAGCAGGACAGCTGCAGACTCTGGGAAACCCCAGCTTCCAGTGGCAGGAGATGAGTTGACATGGCCCAGAGCCACATGGCCATTGGGAAGCCAGGATTTGAACCCAGCTATGCAATTACCTACAATATGCCATTGGGCCAGGGCAGGGTGATCAAGAAAGGGAGATAGGACAGGATCAGGAGACTAGTGGGAGGGTATAGCTGATGATGAGGGTGGCTTCCTGTCTCCCTAGGTGGCAGTCCCTTCCGCTGACTGTGCCTGTTTATCTTGAGCTTGCCCCTGTGCCAGGCTGCTGGAGGAGACTGGGGGCCCTGACAGTCAGGCTACTGCTGCCCAGCCACCATCTTCCTTACATACCTGTCAGCCCCCTTCTCCTAAGGCTTCCTCAACCCATCCTGATGGAGTATCCCCAGAAAGACACAGTGTAAGGTCATACACACCTGGCTAGACAGACCTCCCTGCTGATTTCCTCGGTTCTAAGGTAGGTCTCTGCTGCCCACCAATCTGCTCCCTACTTCTTGGGGGAATTGGGGAATTCCCACACCTCCTAGAGCACTCCTGCAGGCTGGGATGTCCCGGCCACTCCCTGCCCCCTTCTTGCTCCACCATCTTTGTGACCCATAGCTTGCACACAGTTCTTCCTGGGTCCTAGTGCCAGGCCTGCAACTTGCCATTGAAAGCTGCCCCCCCCCCTTCCCAGGCTCTGTGGAGTCTGACTTCTCTCCTGGATAGCAGTTGGGAGCTTTTCTGGTAAAGGAAGCATCCCTCAGCATCTGGGAGAAGCCAATGGGATGAGAGGAGATGGGGCCTGGTCCATTGTGGAGTGCTTTCCAGTGGGTACAGAGAAGGTCAGTCACTGAACCAAGATCACACAGCAGTTTGGAGAAAACACAGGGTTGGACCTAACTGTCTCTCTCTGAGGGGTCTTTCTTCAGCCATTCTGGGTGAGGTCAGCTGGTGTCTGGGACCAGCGTGGCTGTTTCCTATTGCTTGGGGGGAGGGACTTGGCTGTGCCCTGGTAGGAGGAGGCTTGCCTTTGGTTCTTTGATGCTCATTCTCTCGAACCCCTGGGGAACGCCTGAGTCATCACCGGCAAACATATTTAGCTTCTTTCATCGTCCCTAGTAAATCAACTTCTCCAGGTCTCACATACTGCCTCCAACTCCAGGCTGCCTGCCCCATCTCTTGTTGCCTGACATCTGGGCACTACAGAGACTTCCGGCCCCAGGTTCCTGGCAGTGGTCCCCTTGCTGTTTCCTCTCTCTCCTCAGGCATTCGGGGCCAGGCGAGGCCTCCTCTTGCTGGGTTGGCCTGCATTCAACAGCTATGTTCCTTCACAGCTTCCTGCAGCTAGGAGCTTCCTGGCATAGATACAGGGGTTAGCAACATCCACCACAGCTCAGCCCTGATCCTGGTCATCACTCCAGCACCCTCTCAGCCCATGGGGGCTTGTGTAGTGGTCCAGGGAAGTTCCCCAAACACCTTGCCTTATCTTGTCTCTTATAGGTCAGGTTGGCTGGAGGACCCCAGGCCTTTATTGGGCTTGTATTTCACGGCACCTGTCCCAGGAAGCCTCCTGATTGCCTCCTCTCCCCCTTGTCTCTCTGTGGCAGCATGTAGATAGTGTGCCTTGTGAGGATAATGTAATAAACAGCATGAATATAACCCCAAGGAGCTGCACACCATCTTCAGCTTTCTGTGTATGTATGTGTGCGTGTGTATGTGAATGTGTGTATGTGTGTGCACACATACACAAGTGTGTGTAGAGTGCATAAGTGTGTGTGCTCTCATATATATGCATGTATGTGTGTCTCAGCATATACACAGGGGTCAGAGGACAACTTTCAGGAGTTGGTCTGTCCTTCTATAGTGTGGGTCCCTGGGATCTAACTCAGATCCTCAGGCTCAGTGGCAAGTGCTTTTATCCAGTAAATCATACTGCTGGCCCCACTGGTCTAAGCATTTTATATATACTTAATTATTCCCGTTTTACAGGTGGGCAGTTCAAGGCTCCGAATCCTGAAGAAAGCTCTTGAGACATGGAGAGAACCAGCCCATGAACCCAGGTTTCCTGAGTGGCATCGGAGACCTGCTGTCACCTGCTCCCACCACTCCAGACTAGGGTAGGAGCCCCACCAGGCCCATGCCTGGGACCCCCTTGCCTGTAGACATCTCCACTAAATGGTAGTGCCATTAAATGTGTCCTCAGGGAGGAAAATCTAATCCAAAGAGGCAGCAGCCTGTTCTGAGGTGCACAGCCAGGAAGACACTGGGAGAGCAGGAGCGTGTGGTCCCTGTGAGGGAGGAAGCCCTTTTAGGGCAGCTGAAGGCTGTATTGGTCAGGGGTTCAGGCTGTCGCTACATCTGCAGAGGAAGGAGCTTATCAGTGTGTGGTGAGCGCTCTCTGCTGGCCAGATTTAGTAGTACAGAGAAGCAGAAAGGTGAAAGCCACCCACCCCTGGGAGGTCAGAGGGACCTCCCAATGTAGCGGAGTGACGTGGTCCTGGGCCCTCTCCTGTCCCTCAAAACATCTGTCTTCTTAGTCTTACAGTCTCAGAGGTAGCCATACCCTGAGACCTATTGATGCTGAAGCCCAGAGTTTTGTGCTGGTTGTTTTTGTTTTTAATCAGGCAACTTAACAATTATTATGAACTGCAAGTGCACAATCAGACTGCTCAGTCAGACACCCACGGACCTCACAGTGTGGAGGGTGTGGTGACTCTGCCATACAGGCCTGACCACCTAGCCTAGGCACCCTCCTCCCAAATTGTCCATCAGTTGTGCACTGTCCCCTGCACATGCCAGTCTGGGCTGGTCTCTCATCTGTCTCCCATTAAAATGGAGGGTTTGTTTATTTTCTGTTATTGAGACAGGGTTTCTCTGTGTAGCTTTGGAGCCTGTCCTGGAACTAGCTGTGTACACCAGGCTGTCTCCACAGAGCCTCCCAAGTGCTGGAATTAAAGGTGCATGCCACCACCACCCGGCAAAGGGGAGGTGGGATGTGTGTGTGTGTGTGTGTGTGTGTGTGTGTGTATGTATGTGTGTGTGTGTGTGTGTGTGTGTGTGTGTGTGTGTGTAACATATTCTCACTATGTAGTTCTGGATGGACTGAAACTTGTTATGTAGAACAGGTTGGTCTTGAGCTCACAGAAATCCACTTGTCTCTGTCTCCCTGGTGCTGAGTTGAAACGTGTGCAACACTATACTCAGCATGCTATTTTTAAAAACTTGATATGTATGCGCGTGCATGTGCACATGCAGGCATGTCTTGTGTATGTGTGTGTTTACTGTGTACCTGTAGAGGTCAGAAGAAGAGGTTGGGTCCCCTGAGTTACGTGTGGTGTGAGCCACCTGAAGTGGGTGTTAGGAACCAGTCTTGGGTCCTCTGGGAAGAGCACCTTGTGCTCTTAACTGCTGAGCTATCTCTCCAGCCCTAAGACTTGAACTTGTTTTGAGGGCAAGGATGTGACCATGGTCACAGGGCTCTTTGGACCCCTGGCTCTGTTACAGAGATATTGGCATACAGTAAGTACTCAGTATATGGGCCAAAAGAAGGTAAGTATAGGCAAGCTGAGCTAGGTCAGCCACAAGGATCTTCAAGAAAGACCCTAATGGTGCAATTATTGGCAGGGGGCTGGGCGAAGGAGGCAGGAAGTGGCCATAGGTCTCAGGAGCACTGGACCATGAGCCCAGGTGGCAGGGATTATGGCTTGGCCTGCCAGTGCCTGCAATAGGGCCTGGCACAGCAGGGACACTTTATAAACATCTGTGGGAAGACAGCAAAGGTTACACAATCCTGCCACACTGGTCCCTGTGGGCTTGCTTCCCTCCAGAGGCGGGGGATCCCTACCTATCTTCCAGGTCAGTGGTTCTATCTGAAGACAGTCCTTCCTTCTGCAAAATTCTGTTTTTCCCTGGCTGTAGCAGAATCAATTTAGCCTAGCCCCTACTCTGGCCCCAAAGAAGCCCAGAGAAAACCTCAATTCCTGGGGAACTTCTGTCCAGCACAGCACCTCCTCCAGCATCCCGAAGATAAGGTTCAGGGACCACTGAGTGCTCACACTTCCTGGATTACAGATGAGGGCCAGGGAAGGTCAGGGATGGCAGACACAATTACAGGACAGCTTTCTGTCCACAAGTTGGATCATGAGCTCTAGTCTTGCTTCTAAGTGTCAGAACAGGAAATAAGCTGACGCCTGCCCCACCTTGGTGCTGGGGAAAAAGCTGAGGACCAGAAAGGGCTGGAGACAAAAGTCCCACAGCCTCTGTGTGTGCACACACATGCCAAAGGCAGAAGGGACACTTTAGGGTCCTTTAACCCCTAAATGGGGGCAGCCGAGGCAGGCTCAGTTCAACTCCCCAGGAATCCAGCAAGGGCTCTGTTGGTACCCAGACCCCAGGTGTTCATCTGTCCAGAGATAGGAGTCTTACCCTCCTACCACACTTCTCTTCCTGCCCCTGTGGGAAGTGTGTACATACGGGCTCCTGAGGAGGGGGAGGTACCTGCTGCTCCCGCTCAGGGTCCAGGCTGGCTAGGACATAAGAAGCTGCCCTGCTGCCCTGCTGAGTTTTCCCCTGTGGTGGGGGGCACCTCAGGCAGGAGAGGAGGTGCCTGGGGAAGAAGAAGCTTCCTCCAGGTGGGCCTGTTGTGTATGGGAAGCTGGCTTTGTTCTGGCTGGAGGCAGAAACAACGATCCATTCTGCAGCCCCTCACTACCCTAGCTTTGCTGGTGAGGCATCTAGTAGTGGCACTATGGGCCAGAGTCTGTCCAAGCATGAGTCCTATGCTACCAGCTGTCTTTCTGTGGCCTCCAGGCAGCCCTCTTGGTGGGCATAGCTTGCAGCATTTCCTCCTCTTGTGTCTCTCAGCTGTAACTCAGATCTGTCGGCCACAGATGCTGCCACTTACTTGAGGGCTTCCCCTGAGCCTCTTCTCATGTTAAAGTCCCCGAGAATGGTGCCAGCAGTGTCCTCAGAACCTCCCAGAACAGTTTGTCTAGTTCAGTCACCTGGTGTCCTAGCTCCTCCCAACACCAAGCTGACTGAAGGCAGCTGGGCCAAGATGTTTCCTATCCATACCCTGCATTTTTGTAAGACTCAGAGAAGGGTTGTGATTCAGTGGAGGGGCATGTCTGAAGCTTCAGGCTTGGAGCTGGGTGTATGCTGGTACCTGGTGCTGGCAGGGAGGGCCAGGCCCAATCTGAGGGGACAGGATGCCTTTGAACTGAAACTCCCAGGGAATCCATGGTTCTCCTGCCGGGGAGGGAGAGGGTGGGACACACTGGAAGTGGGCTCTGGGCTGGCTTGTCTTCCCACCCTCACCCTCGACTGCAGCAGTTCGGCGTGGAGCCTCATGGGTTCTTCCTGGCACACAGCACTGGAGCTCTTTGCTCTCCAAGGTACCACATCCCTCATAGCCAGTTCCAGTGATGGGGACGAGTAAGTTTGTGGCAGGAACAGGTGCAGTGGCTGAGAGGTGTGTGTCCAGGTTCCACAGGTTTTACAAGGTTGCCAGAGCCATGTCCCAGAAGCTCACTGCTTGCTGGCAATCTTCTTTTTCCGAGCAGACAACAGATCATAGAAAGGGACACGGGTGATGCTGGCCCTAGGGGTGTGGGAGGAAATGAAACTTCAGGGCTTGCTGGAGAGTAGGACTTCTGGACTTGTGATTTGGGGTGTGTGATTTCCAGGGAGGTGCTGGCTCCCTGGCAAGGGAAAGGCCAGGGACGGGTGTAGGGAAATCCTACTCTGATAGCCTTGTCCCATAGGCAGGCCCAGCAAGGACAAGATCTCAGGTTAGGGGGTGGAGCCAAACAGAGAGACCCTGCCCCCAGATTTCTTTATCAGCCCTGTTAGAGAAACAGAGAGCCAGTGGTGGAACCGGCCAGGCCCCTCACTGTTGTGTGGCTCTACTCAAGGCTCTGCCATCTCTGGGCCTCTCTCATACTTCGAGTTCTAGGACATGGTCCTTGTCCAGCGGCCACACATGCCTTCTAGCTGACAGGTCTTCCAGTGGCCCATGTGCCTCTCTTCTGGCTGAACTCCTTGCAAGTACCAAGTGCCTGCCCCCCCCCACTTCACCCGTGAAGTTGGTTTCTTCCGTATTCCCTAGGCTTGACATGGTGCCTGCCTGCCAAAGGGTACCAATAGAAGGCAGACCTGGAGTCCGCTCCTTTATAGACAAGGAAAGAAGACCCCAAAGAAATTGGAAGGTGACCGGAGGTGTCCAGTGTTCCGGCTGCCCTCACCTGATGGCCTCGATCCACTGGTCGCGCTCCTCGGCACTGGCAGCTGAGATGCGGTAAGACTCATGTTTCCCTTCCACCACTTTGCCATCCCCATCAGTCTTGCACGCCTTTATTTTCTGGCCCCGGCATCCAGGGTTGTATAGCTCCAGGCAGAACTGTGGGAGGTGCCAGGTGAGGGGAAGGTCAGGGGACAGGTTAGGCCACCTCTGGGGTAGGGAGGGGGGGTCACAGAGGCCCTTCCCCAACAGCTCACGGGGGAGATGACACCAGGCACCTACCATGTACCAGGATCCCCAATATCCCATGTAACAGATGGAGGAACCAAGGCTCAGAAAGAGCTGTGACTTAGAAGTCCCCCAATCAGCCAAGCTCCACAAGACAACTGAGTCTTGCTCCTTCAATGACACTGACCATCCTGGGCCCATAGCTCCTAGAGAGACCCTATGGAGGACCCCATGCAGGCACCTTCCCTCAGTGGGAATCCCTAGCTGGACTCTCACCGGCTTCTTGGGGTCATCCACTTTCTGCACGGACAGGTTCTCCAGAGGGATGATCCCCCGAGGCTCCTTGTCCTAAGGAAGCAAAGTCAAGGACAGGAAATGTGAGCTCATGGCCTCCCCAGACCATTTGTCCAGACAGCCTAGACACAGACTGACACAGCACTAGCACCCTATTTGGGATCTGGGAGACCCGATTAAACTTTTTTTTTCTCTTTCATTTTTACTGTATGTGTATGGGTGTTTAGCCTGAATGCATGAAGTGCATCACATGTATGTAATGCCCACAATGACCAGAAGAGGACGACAGGTTTCTCCAGCACTAGAATTATAGACAGTTGTGAGCTGCCATGTAGGTGCTGAGAATTGAACCCAGGTCCTCTGGATAAGTAGTCAGTCCTCTTAACTCCTGAGTCATGTCTCCAGTCTACTATCTATCTATCTATCTATCTATCTATCTATCTATCTATCTATCTATCTATCTCCTGAAAAAGGGTCTTATTGTGTAGCTCAGGTTGGCCTTAAACATATTAGGACCCTCTTACCTCTGCCATCTCAATGCTGGGATTATGGGTATGAGGCCCCCAAGCCTAGCCCTTAGGTGATCCAGCCATCTTTGAACATTTTTTTCCCTAGCTTTGGCAATTGACCAGGGCCTCATACCCAGGCCCACACTCTAACCCTGATCTACAGCCCCAGCCCAGGAAACCCAACTCGAAGTCTGTGTTTCTCCTTGCCCCACCCCTCCTCCTCTTTGCCCCCCAATCCTCATCTGTGAAATGGGAGCAGAGGGGAACTGAGCACTCTGAAAGGGCCTGACGCTTTCAGGTGGTGGCAGCAGATGGAGGGGCTGGTTATGGCTGGTTGTATTCTGTCCCTCATCCCCACACACTCACAGTGGTGAACTCAAAGTAGTAGAGGCAGTTGTCGGTGAGGATGAACCAGCGTCGCTTCCACGTCTTCACACGGCCCCCTGCAGGAAGCCAGCAGCATGGCAGGCCAACCTTCCTCCTCCTGGGCCACCATGCTCCTCAGGCCTCCAGATCCATCCTTTCTATACTCCAAAAGTTTCAATTCCCACCACCCCATGTCCTTGCATTTGGGTTCCCAGAAATTGGGTAAGAGGGGACAGTGGCACTGTTTCCTGTCTTCCAGGCCTCTGTCACATGATCCCACCCGTGCCCACTGAGACCCATGCTTGCTTTATGTATTGATTGGTTAGTATTGACTGTCACATTGACAGGATCTAGAGTCATCTGGAAACAAGCCTTGGGGCATGTCTGGGAGGAAGTTTCTAGACTAAGTCAGCTGAGGTGGGCAGTACCCTTCCAGGTGAAAACCGAGGAAGTGAGCTGAGCAGCAGCCTCCATTGCTCTTTGCTACCTGACTGTGGATACCATGAGACCAGCCATCCACAGCTCCTGCCATGAGGAGCTCTACCCTTAGAGCCAAACACATCTTCCCTTCCTGAACTTGCTTTTGTACAGTATTTTGTTGCAGCATTGAGAACAGTAGCTAACACAGCTTTCTAGCCTTGATTTATCAGGCCTGGGAAAAAACAAGGAAGTGAATCCCTGTGGCCATCCAGGAGGAGGAGGGCCACTGGCAACCCCATTTTATAGACAAGGAAACCAAGGTTGGGCAAAGCTAGGCTGTGTGTTCATGGTCCTGTGCATTCAAACTCCAGTGTCCTTGCCCTGGAGCCCAAGCTCCCAGCCATGTTGCTATGTGGCTAGTACTCTCTGGGTCAGTGTCACCACAGTCCAGCTGCAGAAACTGGTGCTGAAGGATGGGTTGTGAGCTCTCCCATGAGGCTCTGATGCTTCTCTGCTGTCTGGATTTGTGACTTGGAGATGCTCTGGGGGCTGGGAGCCGGTGTCTGGGGCAGTCTGGGAGGCACAGAGGGCTGTACGAGGAGAGGCTGCAGTGTGGTGATACACAGAAGGCTTGGTGGGCATCTAGGATACAGGTGAGGCGGCCATAGACTAGGTACACAGTAAGTGATGGAGGCTGCCTGGCTGAGACTCCTCCTCCAAGATGAGGTATTTTCTCCTTACCTACCTTGGAAGATCACAGTCCCTGGCTGGCTGGTCCTGCTGGGGAGGCTCAGGAGTGTTCCTGGAGGGGGCAAGGCTGGCTGCTTCCCTTAACCACTGGAACACCCACTACCTCACTCCCCATGGCTCTTTGAGCTACATTCTCTCTTTCCCTCCTCCTGCTTCAGGAACATCCAGCCCTCTGCTGCCCTAAATATGACACTTGCTGACTGTGTGGCCTTGAGAAGTTGCCCTAACTTTATTGAGTCTTGGATTCCTGAAAACAGCCAGTCAAAGATTGGGCTGCTCAAGGACCAGCCCCTCATGTTCAGTGGTCCTGAACAGAGGGACTCTGCTAGTCTCTTCTCTACATCCCTCTGGGAGAGAAACAGAACTGTCCATGGAGCCTGTCTTCCACTGTCACCTGCACCCCCAAGACAGACAGATGAGTAGAAGGGTAGGTGTTTCCATGTATGTATGGGAGGATGGATATATGGGTGGATGGGTAGATGGGTGAATGGATGATGGGCAGGTGGGAGGATGGATGGGTATATATAGTATGTGGATAAATAGATGGGTAGGTGGGTAGGTGAAGGGGTGGATGGATGAGTGAGTGGAGGGGTGGATGGATGGATAGATGAATGGATGGATAAGTGGATAGGTGAGAGATGATGAGATGGGTGGGTAAACAGATGAGTGGTTAGGTAAATGAATGATTAGTCAGATGAATGGATGGGTAGGGCAATGGGTGGGTAGATGGATGGCTGGGAGGGTGAGTAAGAAGGATAGAAAGGGTAAGTAGATTGCTGGCCCAGGGGTCAGGTGACCTAGTGCTGTGCAGGTCCACACTGAGCTGTGTGTGTGTGTGTGTGTGTGTGTGTGTGTGTGTGTGTGTGAGCCAGCCACATGTGTGTGGTGAGCTTATCAGAGTGTGTACACAGAGGTCTTACCCAGCTTGAGTAGCCAGCCTTCACGGTCAGGATTGAAGAAAGTATGGGTGAGGTCACCACCATCATCCTCGGGGATGGAGAAGGGTTCACTTTTGATGCTGTCAAAGAGGTTCTGTCCAAAAGAGGATGGAAAAGATGGGTTCAATCAACTGAGTTTGGGGCCTGGACCACCTGGCCTGGGTGGCCTTGGGCAGGTCCTGTCTCCTTAGGGGACTGGTGCTGTCCTTTGCACTGGCCACGCCCATACCCTAGTGTTCCTTCCCCTCTGTTGCCTCAGGGAAGAGTGAGCAGGGTGGGTGCCTTAGGCTCATACAAGGAGACACAGACACACATACCCACCCTCCACAGGCACAGGGGGGTTGGAGTCCTTACTGCTTCAGTCTGTGCTCATGATGGAAGATGCCCCTCTTCTACTTAGGTAGACAGTAGAACCTTCTAGATAACATGCTGGGTGAGGATAGAGGAGGTCCAGGAGAGGAAGCAATTGACTGCTTCAGGCTCAGAGCCTTAGCAGAAGGAGAGGTCCCAGTGGGGCTCTGACTATTCAGGATGGGCTCTGATTATAGGGATTGGGATATGGAGGGCTCCAAGAGGTGACTTCAGTCCTCCATGGGTGGCTTTCTGGTAAAAAGGTGCTTAAATATACAAGGAGTGACCCTGGAGGGATGAAAGGTATGAAAACCAGAGAGGGTGTTTTGAATCTTCTTGGGGGCACTGGGCTTCCCCAGCACTGGGATCCTAACTTGTTCCTGATTGTTAAAGCTGGAAGGCAGCATGCAGCTGTTACCTATCGGGCATTTGCAGTGATAGTTCCCAGTATTGTAATGGAGATTTCACACCTTTACGTATATATGGCTGGGTGGGTATATATATATATATATGGGTGGGTTGGGTAGATGAATGAATGCCTGATTCCCCTATTTACTGCTATCCTGTCCTTTGTTCAGGGGTTCCCATAGGGTGCAGGCCTAAAGCTGGTTTTCCTGAGTCTATGGAGGCGGAGCTGGAGCACCCTCCAGCCAAGCCTTCAGTGTCCCTCTCAACCTCACTGTGGTGTGAGGGTGAGAGAAAAGTGGAGGCCAGCTTCTTTTTGGCTGGGGTGGAGGTGGGGGTGCATGGAAGTGGGGGTGGCGGGCTTTACCATGGGAATCCCCAGGTGGCCTGGCTGGTGGAATAAGTGTTTGAGACAGGAAGGCCCTAGCAGTAGCCGAGCTGTCATCTCAGACAAGTATTAGGGAGGCCCGAGGAGGCTTTGGGGTGGCAGACAGAGTCTCAGCCCTGCTAAACCCACAGGAGTACCTGGAAGTTTCTGTGGTCACAGTATCATTGTTCATATTCTGCCTCACAGAAAAAGCAGCACACCCACACTTCCTGTGTCTCGAAAACACCCTGAAGTCCCTGTCACTGAAGAAACCGCCACATAGAGACCTCTCAGGGCCCTGGGTGTACAACATGGCCTGTCTTTCTTTGGGTCTCTGGAGCCTTCTCCTCTCTTTTCTGTCTCGGTTGTTCAGTGAGGTAGGCACCCTCCTCCATCCCAGGTTCCAGGAAGGGATAGTGGCTCACTCCCCTTTGGCTGTTCAGAGCCTTGCAACCTATGCGCTATAGGGACTAGTTTAGATAGAGACACATAACCCCAGACAGTCACTAGGGCTTAATTCTAGGGGTTTAGTTTTGAGGGAAGAAGCTGGCAGCCTGGACATACTTGGGCGTCTTTGCAATAGCCAGGATCTAAGAGACAGCCAGTGTGTAGGGTGGGCTTGTTGTGACGTGTATTCCCCTCAGGCCACCAACGAAGCCACACCTGAATATAGCCACACCTGAAGCCAACAGTCTGAAGGTGAAGAGAGCCCTATTCTTTTTAGTGATATTTGTCCTGCCAGTGTGGCAGGACAGAGAGGCATAAAGAGACATCAAAATGTACATATGATGATGGGCCACCTAGGTGGGTCAGTGAACACCCATATACTGTGGCAACACCAAGGGACAGAACACATAGGAGAAGAACCTCCATCTCCAGATGCTGGACCTCAAAGGACTGGTCGCCTGCAGTCCTGCCCTGTCCAAACCCTCTAGCCCACCTGCATTCTCAGAAATGCTTTCTTCCTCCCCTTAAACGTTATTTCTATCACTATCCATGTGTCCCTGGCCCAGTTATTTGCGCTAGGACACAAGAGCCTAGAAACCTCAGTGGATATGCCTTCTGGATACTCATCTGTGACAGGGGTGGTGGCATGCTCGGGGGCCCTCTGCCCTCAAGATTGCACCTTCTAGTCTCTGCAGGGGGTGGAGCTCCAGAATTAGACATAGCTCAAGCTGGGACTCTCTAATTATGAACAGGAAGCCTCAGGTTAGCTTCCTCCAGTAGCACCCTGTGACCTTAGCTGGACCCTGGAAACAGGGGGCACACAATGACAACATGCCTGCACTGACAGAGTCCAAGAATGGCCCACAGAGGAGTTGGGACTCACCCCCGTCCCTGTGCCCAGCTCCTAACTCTGAACCTAGACTCTTTTAATTGCTGTGTCCTGGCCTGCCTGTCGTCTATAGCCACATACATTTCTCATAGTCTTTCTTACAAGCTCACCCTCCAGGGCTGTGTGACCTTGGGGTGACCTGTCTTGGGGCATCAGTCTGTGTAAATTTACTTCTGTCTCATGGTGTTCTTTAAAGCCTTTTGGGGCTTCCTGTGTAGTTGAGCAACAGTGGTTCATGGAGAACTCACTTCTGCAAAGAGATAGTGTGACACTGGGCTATGCTTTAAAAATATTAAGATGAAGTCATGGAGAAGGTGAGAACATCCTGGGTCCATGTGGCTGCCTGTGAAAAACCTGGGGTGGCTCCCAGGGTAGGCCCCGGGCACTCTGTGACACATCTGGGGAAGAGCCATGCCCACCAGCCACTCCCTGTCACCTCTGCTAACTCCAGCAAGGGGTTCCACAGGCCAGCTGTGGGCTAAAAGACAGGCAGCTGGCTGAGGCTCTGCTTGGCTCTGCTCTTTGCCTGGCTCCATGCTGTTGACCAGGGTGGAAGCTACATAGAAATGACAGGTCACCTACAAGAAAGTGCCAGCTTAGGGGCATGAGGAGAGGACGATGCAGAGGAAGGCTCTCTGGGTGGAAGGCAGGAATGGTTAGTCAAGGGGAGGTCTTGCACATTCGGGACACCTGTGGGAGGCATGCTGGTTCTATCCCCAAGGGTGCCTGTGTGCTCCAGCCTGCTCTGAGGTTGGTTGTTTGAGCTTCTTTTTTACTTGTTTGTTTTGAGATGTCATCTTCTGTAGCCCAGGCTAACCTCAAACTTGCTATGTAGCCACGGAAACCTTTGGACTCCTGATCCTCCTGTCTCCATCTTCTGAGGGCTGGGATGATGTGTGTGTTTTACAATGCCTGGTTTATACTGGGGACTGAACTCGGGGCCTTGCATGCTTGGCAAGCACATCCCCAGCACATTCTTAATTATTCTTTCTGACGACACAAGCTGACTTTAAGCCTGGGTTGGGAGCCCTTAATGTTAAAAAAAAAATGACTACTCACAGCCACCATAATTCAGGCTGATCCACCCCAGTCTAGGAGGGAGTGGTGGACTAAACCCTAAGGAGCCAGCCAAGGTCACTCAGCAAGTGTGTAAGGGAGATGGGGCTGACCAGAACTCCAGGAGGCTCTGGAGCCTTCCTTATAGGTAGAGTGACTCCAGCAGGACCCATGTCCTGTGGGCTAAGGGGATGCAGTGCTCAACTCTGAGGGGCCAGGCTCTGATTTGGGGCCCATGTGCTTGCTCACCTCTCTGATGACTTTAATCATGGCAAGACTTTGGTGCTGTGAGTACCGATATTCATCGTTGAACAGTATGACTGTTGCTCACCAAGCAAAGCATCTGCTCTTTTCAGCCATCTGAGTCTGTGTGCTCCTGAGGTTGGCCTTCAGCACTCAGACACCCTGCTCATATCTACCTCATCTCAGGGCATCACACTGGATACTAACTCCTTCCCAGCTTTCTCTTTCCAGAATGCCCCTGCCCTGCTTTCTTCAGGAAAACTCTGTACTGGCTGGTTGTGTGTCAACTTGACCCACGCTAGAGTCATCAGAGAGGAAGGAGCCTCCATGAGATCCAGCTTTAAGGCATTTTCTTAATTGTTGATCAGTGGGGGAGGGCCCAGCCCATGGTGGGTGATGTCATCCCTGGGCTGCTGGTCCTGGGTTCTATAAGAAAGCAGGCTGAGCAAGCCAGGGGGAGCAAGCCAGTAAGCAGCACCCCTTCATGGCCTCTGCATCAGCTCCTGCCTCTAGGTTCCTGCCCTGCTTGAGTTCCTGTCCTGACTTCCTTTGGTGATAAACAGAAATGTGGAAGTGTAAGCTAAATAAATCCTTTACCCCAAAACTTGCTTTTTGGTTATGGTATTCAGTTGCAGCAATAGAAACCCTTAGACAAATCTTATCCAGCTGTCAAAGCCCATATGGAAGTCATCTGCCCCGGCCAGGCTTCTGGGATGACACCTTAGTTGTCCCCCAAGACAGCAACAGTATATCTCTCTGTAGTAAAGCTCCCACAGTCAGTATAGGTGACATCAGTGAGCTTTGGGGGTTGATTGTGGGATGTGTAGATCCCTTTCTACTAGATCTTGGACTTGGTCTAGGCAGATCGGCATGGAGTCATTCCTGGGTCCCTGTACCCAGAACAGGGTTTGGTATAGTGCAGTGTGGATGGGATGTTGGGATAAGGGGACAAGTAGCTTGGGACTAGCCTTCCTGTAGAGTTAGTGGGGACTTGTTGGGGGACTGTCTTTCTCCCTCTGAGGACCCCATCCAAGCATCTTTTCCTCCTGACTTGCAGAGAAACTGGGGTCCTGAGCTTAGGAGGCATTGTCCCCTTTTATTGGGGGACTCAGGATGGATCCTATGGTCTGTGGATGCCTTTGACCCACACTCCCAGTCTGAAGTGTTATTTGGGGGAGGTGTGAGTAATGACTATCCAGGTTTCCAAAAATCTAGTTCTGAAGGACTGCTAGCGTCTGCCTTCAGTCAGCCTTGTTGAGACGAGACCATGTTGAGGAGACCCACCTCACAGCTAGCCTGCTGGGCCCTTGTGCCTCTGCCCTTGCGTTAACTCAGGGGGTGGGGCTCCCAGAGGACCAATAAGATGCAGCGTTCTCACCCTCAGCTGTCCCTCGGGCAGGTCACTGCCATTGTTGATGCCACGATTCATGGACACAAAGCGCTCGAAGGGTGGTCTGTCCCGGACGTTGGGGTTGTGTAGGCCAGTGTTGAGCATGATGACGGAGAAGGACAGCACATAGCAGGTGTCTGTGGAACCTGGCACTAGTCACAGTCCTGGACCAGGTCACTTTCACCCACCTCTGTCCCAGTCTGGGCAAGGCCCTGAAGATCCACCCTGCCCCTGGCTCAGCTTGGCAGGCATCCAAGGCCCAGCGTCCCTTCCCACTGTTGCAAACTTCAGTTGCAGCTTCTGAGACTCTGCCCCTGTCCCCTGCCTCTGTGCCCTCCTTCCCTTTCAGATCCTGCTTGCCATCAGCTGCAGCCTCCCAGGCCCTCCCACTCTGTTCTCTGCCTCCTGGGAATGGGAGCTCATTTTTAGCCGCCCCATTAGTTAGTAGCTTGTTCTAAGCTGCCTGGTGGGTCATGCTGCCAGCAGCCTGCTGCATTGTGCAGACCTGTGTATGCAGGCTTGGGGTGTGGCTGCTGTTCTGGGTTTTCTGAGGATCCAGAACCTGAGGGAGGCAGTTCCAAACACTTGACCTTCAGCCTGCCCACATGACTGTAGAAAGTGGATGCTTTGGGATTGGTGTTCTCCCTCCCACAGCAGTGGCCCCCACCTATGTTCAGCCTCCCCAGGCCTATCCTGGGTGACAGGTGTAGCTACACCTCCATCTTAAAGATGAGACACTGAGGCTGAATCACATGCTCCTGGGTCACACAGTGACAAACTGATTGGCTGATTGAAATGCCTTCCATTCCACCTAGCCTGATATCCTGATTGACTGGATTGACTGACACAGGTCTCACTTGAAACTCAGGCTGGCCTTGAATTGGCAGAGATCCTCCTGTCTCAGCCTCCCTAGCGCTGATATTATAGATGTATGCTACCACCCCTGGAAGTCACAGGTGACCAAGTGTGTGAATCCTGGAGGCAAGCAAATGCCAGCTCTTGGGTCATGGCCAAGTGTAGCAGAAGCTCCAGCGGCTTCTGTCTTCCACGCAGCAGGAAGGGAGCAGTCTGCTCTGGGACAAGTGGCTTCCTGTCTGATTCTGGCTCTTGCTTCATCAGGGACAATCTGCTGCTGAGCTTAGAGAGTAACACTGAGTTTTGATGACCCTGACAAGAGGGTCCCAAGGCCCTGTGCACTTAGAGACAAAGGTCCTGTGTGTATAAAGCTCTGGGAACACAGGAACCCCATCACAAACTTGGCTCTAGAACCAAAAGAAGAGGCCATGGCCAGTTGGCTGTGTTGGCCCCTCCCTCCTCCTGTCCTGATCTTGGAGATGGCGGTATGGGTGACTGAGCCTGTTGGTCACCTGCTGTGCCCTTTGCCCCTTATCTGCTTTTCCAAGGATTCACTTGAGACATTTAAAGCATTTCCCCTTATAAATTTCTAGAGAACTCCTAGTTACCCTTTAAAATCTCACCCAGACCACACTTCCTCTGAGAAGCCTTCCTGTACTGTACTCCACACTGCCTGTCTCTCCCTGTCCCTCTCCCCAGAACCATGCTCCAGACTGGCATGGAGTCAGTGCTCAGTGAGGGTTCAACAGAGGCCTGAACAGTTGAAGCATTCGGGGGATATGAGGAGCTTGTCACCTGTAGACCGGAAGACATCTGGGTTACAGAGGCAGTAGCGAGCTGCGAAGGCTTCCATCATGCGGTCAATCTTTTGGGCCTCGCCAGGCAGCCGGAAGCTCCACAGAAACTGCCTAGGAGGACAGGGCCGTGGTCAGTGAAGCGGGTGGGGCTCTCAGTGACACTACATAGTGCTCAGCCTCTGTCTCCGTGAATGGGAACCTTGGCCTCCTCTAGGTCCCAACATGGGTGGTTGGGTTCGGATGTGAAGGTGCCCACAGCACGGGAAGAGGTGGACTCACATATCTTACAGAGATTTGGTGTGGAGCTACAGGCTCTGGCTGTGGGGCCCTGGGCAGTGCAGCTCCTGGATAGGCCTCCCTGTCCTGGGACCCAAGCTTACACCCAGCTCTTGATGTCAGTTAAGCTTTCTTGTCTCCATAGGTCCCTTAAAATCTGCCCAGCAAAAGCTAATCAAATGAATGAATGAATGAGATAAGTGATTTCTAAACTTTTCTTTCAGGAAGACCATACTCGTTGTATGGATGGTAGTCCTTCTTTGCCTCACAAACTCCTACTGATCCTGCAAAGCACAGATCAAATGCTTCTCTTGGGAACAGACTACTAGGCTTTCCCAGCACCATCGTTAAGATTCCCTGGGTGATGTGAAATTTTACTAAGACATAGAGCTGACACATGGAAGTGACTAGCTCTGGCTGGTTATAAGTCCTTCCTCATTTAGTTATTCTGCCCCATGGATTGGTACTGACTTGCCTCAGGCAACTTTCCTTCCTTCCTTCCTTCCTTCCTTCCTTCCTTCCTTCCTTCCTTCCTTCCTTTTCTTCCTTCCTTCCTTCCTTTCTTTCTTTCTTTCTTTCTTTCTTTCTTTCTTTCTTTCTTTCTTTTAAGAGAGGGTATCCTGGGTTAGCCTGGAACCCACTGTGTAGCCCAAGCTGGTCTGGAGCTCACGGCAATCTTCCTGCCTAAGACTTCCAAGCGCTATGATTACAGGTATAAAGCGCCAAGCCCAGCTGTGAAATTTCTTATTTGTACCTTGCCTTGGGTCACATGGGGAGTGAATGGCAAAGCTGGGTTTTGAAAGGACATTATGGTTTGTGGACAAATGCTGCTAACTTGGGCACCACACTGTGCCCATGGATGTGAAAACAAATAGTGATGAGTATTGGAATTAGGTAGTCAGAAGCCATAGCAACCATGTTCTACACAGAGCCGGATGCAGGGATAAAGTACACATGTGCTAGAACATAGCACTGGGGTCCCCAGATGGCCCAGAGGGAGGGTGTTTGCAAATATCTCAGGCCTCAATAATGGTGGCGTGGCAATAAGAGTCAGCTGCAGGCTTCTAAGCTTGAGAGTCTCCTGCTTTAGCTCTTCAGGGCTGTGTTCCCTAGACTTAAGCTTCCTCCTCTCCATGCAGCCCTGGGTTGGATTCTCCACTCCACCCCCACCACATCTCCTGCCTGAACCACTCACCTGAGGGCCTGAACAAGGTTGAGGTTGGCAAACTCGTGGCAGTCCACGAAGGCCTGTAGGACCTGCAAGTTGATGGGGTCTCTGGAGAGGGACAGACAAAGGGGGAACACTTGACAACTTGCACACACACACACACACACACACACACACACACACACACACACACCCACCCACCTCTGGGAGGTAAGCTCTGGGTTTAGACCTTTAGGGCCCCTGGGTCAAGTTCTCTCTTGGTCACTTCCTGCCTGGTGGCCCTACTCAAGCCCCTGAACATCCTCACACCCCAGTTTCCTCATCAGATGCGTCTTCCCTCTCCCAAGCTCTTAGGTCAGGAGCCTGTGTGCCATCTCACTCAGAAAATGTGGAAGAAGAGCTGGGGACTTCCTGAGGCTTCTCCACGATGGCAGACACTTCTACCAGGCAGACACTTCTGTCTAGAGCCTCCATGGATCCTCCTCCCTCCCTCCCCCTCCTTCCCCCTCTCTCCCTCCTCCCACCCCCCTCTCTCCCTCCCTCACTCCTTCCTCCCTCCTCCCTCACTCCCTTCTCCCTCCCTTCCTCCTCCCTCCCTCCCTCCTTTCCTCTAGATCCTTCATTCTACCTTGGGGCCTTTGCATTAACTGTTCTCACTGCCTGGAACCCTCCAGTGTGCACCCCCCCACTGCCTCCTGGACTGAAACGGGGGCTCCAGCTCAGAGCCCTCCACTCTTTGGCCTCCTTTCTGCTTTCTGTGTACCCAACAGAGCTCATTTCTGTCCTTCTCCCATGCAGAAAGCACTGGACCCTGAAGACAGGAGTTTGACCATCTCTGTCTTCTGTAGCTAACATTCAAAAAGAGAGCTCAGACCACAGTAGACACAAACAACATATTGATAGAATGGATGACTATGTCAGCCGGGGAATCAGTACTCATCTGAAGCCCTAAGCATGAGGGCTCTCCAAGTACCCCACACCCTCAATTACCACTCCTTGTCTGGGGTCTTCTTACTTTTCCCCCAAGTAGGTGCCAATGGCTGTCTTGTTGAGGCCGTCACCCTTGTACAGGAACTGGGCAATGTCCTGGACATTGGAGGTCAGCAGCTTGTGTTCAATGAGATACTGGATACCCTGGAGGTGACACAGAGCCTGTGTACAGCCCCTATAGCATAGGCTCTTGGTGGAGGGGGCCTGGTATTTGGACTGTACACAGCCTGTTCTGGGACAGTGCCCTCCAGCTGCCTTTGGGAAGTGGTGAGCTCCGCATCTCTGGTGGTTTACTAAGAAGTATAGTCATGCCAGGTCCCTCCAGCCTGGCATGCCTAGAATACACCCTCCTGTGGCTGCTAGGAGTCACAATGCTAAGACTCTGTGATTCAGCCTCCCCTTTTGTTCTTTCCAAACTCTTTTTATTTCAAATAGTTTCATTTCATCACACTAGCAATCTGTGCCCATTGTGTAAAAGTCACACAAACCAGCTAAATCAAAAGGGAGGAGACTGTACAGACCCCACTGGGAAGCAGCCAGCTTCCATTGGCAATGACCTTCACTCCCCTTCTCTAGAAGATGGGAGGGCATACCCAGCCTCCTGTCACCTTGAAGCCAGCTTTGCCAGGTGGGCTCATGGCCCCCTCATTGCTATCCAGGCACAAAGAGTCATCCTCTGATTTTGGAGGTTAGGGACTGGTCTCTGGTGTTATGGTATCTTGTGTCCCTGCTGCTCCTAGGTGGAAAGCTGAGGATGTTGTGCACCCTGTGGCCAGAGCTGGGAACATATGTGCATGTTTATGAGGGCAGGTAAGTGGAGTGGTGGTCCAGGGCCTGTGGCTGTGACCAGGGAATCCATGCCACCAAGGCAGCCACAGCTGTGGCTTTCTGGACCCTTGCAGTGTGTGGCTTCCTCCTGTGCCCCTGCTGGAGAGGAAGCCCATGGCTACCTGGCAGAGTGAAGGGCTACAGGCTGGCTCTGAGGTCATGGGCAACCAAGCTTCAGAATGGGTTTCTGCAGCCTGAACTTGGAAGACATGCTAAGGGCCTCACTGCCTCAACCCTGTTCCAGAGGAGGTGTAGGACCAGGGGAGAAAGGGAATAGGTCCTGGAGGGGGACTTCACAGCTCCCATCTTTGGAATGCAGTGCTATGGAGTGGACAGAGGCCAGCCCCAGCTGGGGACCGAAGGCTTGGCCCTGAGGGGGGGTCTCAGCTCTCTCCTCTGCTTGGTTGTGGGATCAGCTGCAAAGGTACCCAGAAGGCAGCCTCCTCCCTTAGCTCAGCTGTACACCTTGGTGAGATCCACGTCCTTTCCCCCGGATATGTACCTTGGCAGGGTCCATATTGAATTTCTTCCGCCCAATACACATCTCCTTCTCTTTCTGCGCCATCCGGCTGTGAACAAGGGAAGATCAAAATGGTGGCTCCAGATGCCACTGCCCCCACAAGCCCTAAGGGGGTCTTCCTCAGGAGAAGAACTTCATGTATATCCCTAGCCCCTGTGTCTGGACCACCAGAGAGAGCAAGAACAGGGTGAGAGGTGTCGAGGGGTGGGGCTGCAAGCTGAGCCCTGAACTCTGAGTCCCCCAGGAGCCCAGCAGAGCTGGGGAGGATGCAGAAAGCTGGGGCATGATGGGGCCAGCAGGAACATGGGCCCCAGAGGCTGCTCCTGAGATTAAGTCTTGCTATACTCTTGGACCAGGCCACTATAGGTGAGTCCCGTCATCCCTCAGTTTCCTTCTGTGCAGGAACTGCCTGATGCCCTCCCCCAGGGCATGTGTATGTTCACATGCATACATGGCTGTGCATGCCCATGAGATGCTGGAGAGGCAGAGGTCTTGGATGCAGGGCAGGGGACCAGCAAACCATGTGTAGTTCTATAGTTCAATGCCCTAGAATGCATGCAGACATGTCCAGCCTACTGGCTGCACGTGGCTGCATTTGGCTCAAGAGAACTATGAACGCCATCCACACAAAGGTAAACTTACTGAAAACATTGGGTTCTTGGTTTTTTTTTGTTTTCTTTTACAGTTTGTAGCTGAAATGTCATTTTGTTAATTTTATAGTGTCAAGAGGTCATGATCTAGGAGATTATGTGAAAACCTAACCTTTTCTTTATACAAATGGGGAAACTGAGGCCTAGAGAGAAGGCCCTGTTCTAGGACAAAGAGCCAGCAGGAGCCTTCCTGTGTGAGGAATGATGGACATGAGGTGAGCTGGGTCAGTGGACTTCTGGTCCCCACATACCAGAGTTTCTTCACCCTTGCCTAGGGGATATTTCTTTGCTCGTTAGCTTCCAGCTGTTCCTGATGAATAATATGCAGGGTGGTTGTGTGGGGAGGTGGGGTGGAGAGGGAGAGGGTGGGGGTCTCTTGAGAGTCAGAGGGAGTGGTCCAGACAGTCTGGATGGGGCTGTGGCATCTCTTTGGGTCCTACCCCCATCCATGGCACCCGGGGAATGAGATGTACCCAGGACTCATCCTCCCGCTGCCTGGGCTCCTCACCTCTCCTCAGTGCTCTCAAAGCAGTCGATTTGGGCAAACACATCTGCAATTTCATCCTTCAGCTTCTGTGGACACACATGCAGACCTGACGAGGTTAGGGTGTCCCCACAGCCCCCATGCCGCCTGTAGTCCAGGCCCCTCACTGCACACTTCCTTGGGCCTTCTCATTGCCTCCCCATGCCCGTTCTCCCTCAGAGCGGCTCAATGCCTCTGTGTGCCCTTGTCCCTCCACTCGTCCTCACCTCAGGGGTGGGAGTCCCTATGCCCACACATGACCCTATTTCCAGCTTGCTCTCTCTTCCCATGCAGCCAGCTACTGTTCTCTGTTTCCACCAACAAGCCCTCACTTGACATGGCTGGCAGCTTCCCACAGCAGCATGGCGCTGCTCTTCTCCACTCAGAACCCCCCATGGCTCTCTCTGGCCACCTAGGGAACAGACCACACCTCCTGTCTGGCATCACTTCTCTGTCACTTGTTAGTAAGTGCCTGTCACATGCCAGGTACCCTAGGGCCTCTCAGAAGCTATACAGTTCAGCGGAACAGAGGGAAGATGAAACAGCCATGGCCGGCGAGGCAATCACATGTCTACAGTGCCAATTCCAGGCCTGTGCTGCTCTCCATCCCACCCCAGGCTGCCTCAGCCTGACTCCAGGATGGCCCAGTGCAGACAAAGTCCCCATCTTGCCCACCAACCACATTTGCTGGACTGCTTGGGGGAAGATGTCCCGGTACTCCCTGCAATCAGCAGATGAACAGGGCAAGAGGCCCAAGAGGCACCCACCCTCTCCCCAAGACGAGGTGTGCTGGGAGGGATGTGGGACTGCTGGGTTGTTTCTGGAAATCAGGACTGGTGCAACACCCCTTGCTCTGAGGTCATACAGATCCTGTTCCCAGGGATCTTGGCTGGGCTTTCACCTACAGGTATAATGGGGCACCTTGCAAGTGTAGCTATGGGGCTGGGGCCCAGTGGTGAGCAAGGCCCAGCCTCTGCTTTCATGAAGTTAGAGTCTGGGGATGTTGGGATCATGGGTGGCTATGGGGCGAAGAAAGTAACTATGCAATGACCACAGCAATAGTAGAGAAAGAGCCTGACACATGTATATGCTCAATAGAATACTAGCAGAGTGGGGGCTTTTCAGTGGAAGCAAGTATGCATGTGTGTCTAGGTGGCAGGCAGCCTGGAGGAAGAGGTATGTTCTAACCTTGTCTGGGAAGAAGGAACAGGAAATGTGAGAACAGAGTAGCCTCAGGTAGAAGCAAGCGTGTAGGCAAAGGTTGGACTGAGCAAGGCACGATGGAGGAACCTGAAGGTCACTGACTATCATGGCCGTGTTCATCTCAGAAACTGGTGAACTGCCCAGGGCTGGGCCCAGCGTGAGCGTGGCCTTGTTCAAAGGGTGCTTTAGGGGAGAGGTGAGGGCCTGTGCCTGCTCTGCACTGGGCTGGGCTGCTCAGTCCCTGGCAGTTTCGGCCCACTTTCTGTTTCTGAGATGGAAGTAAGGCTGGGGTCTGGAGCTAGGGTGAGGGACTCTGGGATGTGGGGTTGGGAGGAAAGGATCAGTGGCCTGGAACTGGTGATCAAGGGGGTTGATGCCTGGATCTGGGAGTGGGAGGGGTTGGTGCCTGGGCCTTTGGGGAGGAGAAGACAAGGTTGGCTGGCTTTCTGAGCATTTGGCCTGGAGAGTGGGAGCTATGATAGTGTAGTGCTGGCTTGTAAGTGTGTGTGTGTGTGTGTGTGTGTGTGTGTGTGTGTGTGAACATGTACAGGTCTATGAGTGTGAATATATGGGTCTGAGTGTGAACATGTATGAGCCTGGTGAGTGTGTGTATGTGGGTCTTTGAATGTGAACATGTGTGCACACACCTGGATGTCCTCCAGTAGTTGCTTCCGGTGCCATTTGATCTGCTGCAGCTCCTTGGCCTCCCCACTACTGAGCTCAGCTAGATCTGGAGAGAGAGAGAGAAGAGGACTTCTTGATTCTGTATTCCAGGGCTCTTCTTGGGGAGACTCCTGGAACAAAGTGAGGCCCATGGTGCTAGAGCTAGTTGTAACTTGCTGTTACCACTGGTAACTGAGAGGCATTCTTGGACATCCCTGTCCAGAGTGGTCCCACTTCTCCATTAAGAAACATTTCCCGTAGCCATTGTGGGGTCACCTGGACACACCTAGCTGCAAGGGAGACTGGCAAATGAGCGTTACTAAGATTATCCTGTTGTCTTGACTTTGTAATAAGGGAAAACAGAATGGGAGGGGGACAGTTAGCCCCTGCTCTCAAACACTGTGGCTTGGAAAAGAAAAACAAACTGGCTAAGGTTGCACAGGGTGCCAGAGGCTGGCACCCTGGATTGGACAGGCTTCCAACTTTATGCCATCCCATTGGCTCCCCAAACAAAGTGAGGCCAATGGTGTTAGAGCAAGTGTGACTTTGACTTCCCGACCAGGACAATGCTCACTTATTTCAACTACTACACTCTAGTCAGAACCTCCACAGAACCAGGCATGGCAGCTCACACTTGTAATCATAACATTTAGGAGGCTGAGGCAGGAGGATTGCAAGTTGGAGGCCAGCCTGGGTTAGGGTTATAGGGTTTAAAAAAAAAAAAAAAAAAAAAAGCAAACACCAAACTATGGCCAACAATGTGGGCAGCTAACGAACTTCAGGCCTTCCCAGAAATACTCATTTGGAGTACCTGGCTTACCACTTCCTGTGGTTCAGGAAGAGAGGGTGTCTCTGAGTTCCTAGAAGCAGCTGAGGCCAAGGCCAAAAGAAAAGACAGTAGAAAGATGGGGGGTACAGGTTGGGAGGAGACATTTATGGAGGAGGGTGGTGGGCACAGAGTTACAGGGGTCATCTGTATGGGCAGGCAGGTATGCAAGAAGGGCAGGATAACACACCACTAATGGCCTGGTCAGCTGATTCACCCGCCTCCTACTGGGGAACCTTGGCTCTGGTACAAGCAAAAGAAGTAGCCACATGGCGTGGCAAGAAGCTGGACTCTTTCCTGAGTCCCTTGACTGCCACCCATCAATGCCCAACCAGCCAGCTGCAGATATTGGCACTGAGCCATGATTTCTCTGGAAGGTCCATGGACTTGAACATTTGCTTTAGCAAAGACTAGCCAGTGTTTTATTTATTTTTACTTTTATTTTTGCATTGCTAAGGATAGAATGAAAAGCTTTGAACATTGCAAACAGATTTTCCACCACTGAGCCCCATCCTGGTCCAGCTATTCATGTTGGCTGGAGTCCACAGAAGTTCAGGTAGACAAGGATAGCTTCACTCTTTTACCCAAGGGCTTTCACAAACCGTGGGAGAACGGGAAACCAAACAGGCTCTTTCCCAGCAAAGGCTGTGTGCAGTGGGAACTGCTTATCTCCACACTTGCCACACTTGCCCAAGGCCTGACAGAGAATGGAGCAGCCTTGCGTTGGTGCAGTGGAGAAGTTTCCTACTTGGATGGTCCCTCCAGGACACTCATTGCCCGCCCCCATCACACACACAGCTGCTTGCAGGGCTCCTTTAGCAGGAATGCTGTTCTGATGGCTGGATGGGACTTTCTTTTTGTCCCTGTGAGGCTAGAGGCCTTGTTCAAGGTGGGCCAGAGAGGAGTGTGATGCAAGTCTCACTGAAGTCCAAGCTCCCAAACACCCGAGGAAATCAAGTCATTCAGTCCTTGTGAATTTTTTATACAGGCTAATTTTTAGTTTTAGACACAGGGACTCGGACTGAAGATAGCTCAGCCATTAAAGGCCCAAAAATATAAGACGCAGGGACTCAAGAAAGTGAGGTGACATATCCCAGGTCACACAGCTGGGAAGAGGCAGTGTGGGATTCCAGCATGGTTATGGATACAAGGCTTTGCCCAGGCAAGGCAAGTGTGTGCGTTGTGTGTGTGTACATGTGTACATGTGTACATGTGCACATCTGTGTTGGGGGGGAGAGGGAAGAATGAGCATGTGTGTTCATCTGCACAGAGGCCAGAGGCTGACACCATGTGTGTTCTTCAATCACTTTCTGTCTTCCTTCTTTGAGACAGCATCAAATCCAGACTGGCTAGCCAGCAAGCTCCACCTGGGTCCCAAACAACCCAGGATTCCCCTCCTCTCAACCTCTTCCAGAGCTCTAGGGGTACACCTCCACCCCAAGCACCTCCATGTCATCCCCCTCTGGCTCTTGAGCTCCCCCAGTCACCAGGCCCTGTCAGTTTTCAGTTTTAATGGCCCCTAACATCATCTGACTACCAAGGTGGAAGCTGGGTTTTCCAATGCCACCCTGCCTCCTCTGTGTGCCAGCCCTGAGTGCTCCCAATGCCTCCTTCTGAACTGAGAACACACTGTGTGCCCTTCTCCTTCTGTCTCTCAAGCCCCACTGCTCTGAAGAAGGGTTTCCTAACTTCCTCTCCTATGTGATACTCTTGGAGTTCAGAGAGGTTCAATGACCTCTCTCAGCCAGCACAGCTGGATGGTGGTGGAGTTGGGACTCACACACCATCCACCTGGGACCAGAGTGTATAACCCTTCTGTGACCGCGTGGAACCCACAGGCCTGGGTGTTCTGACCCTGTGCCAACCACGACATTTTGTGAAATGACGAAGATGCAGGAAGGTGCCTGCAGCAGGATCTCCTTTGACCCTCCGAGTCAATGGACATCTGGGGAAACTGAGGCACGGGAGTGGTTGGAAACAGATACAAGGAAATGGGATTCCTAGTGGAGTGGACAGTGCAGGGTTAGTGAGATGTGGCCTGAACCTTCCACTCTCAACACTTAGGCTCTGTGGTGGCAAAGTCTTCAGGACACTCTGAGGACACTGTCCCCTTCTACCTCTACCCAAGCCCTGTCCCTAGTGGGTTTCAGCTGTCCAAGTGCATCTGAACCCATGAGACAGCAGGCCATAATCTCTGGCCTGCTGCCCCAACACAGGTCATGTGGCCCACAAGGACCCTCTGACTTTTCATCAGACTGTTTTTCAAAAAGTAGAGGTTTTCACCATTCTGGATCCAAGGACCTGAGATCAGAGGGCGATGTAGACACTGCCAGACAGGGGCTACTCAGATGTGCCCGTGGGTGCTCCAGGCATTGGTGAGAGTCCGGGGAGGAGCTGTGTTGAAGCACTATAAACACTGGAAGCATGCACACACCACCATAGCATGAGCAGCCCATCCTCTCTTAGTGCTCTCTGGATCCTGCCACCCTCCACCCCTGCTCTGCTTTGTGTGCTCCAGTCTCTCATCACCCTTCACCCTTGCCTTCTGTGCTCCAGTCTCAGGCCAGTGGGTGCCCAGCGCCCTAAAGCCACCACCCCTGCCCTCACACTTCCCCCTCGCCCTTCCTCTTTCCCCTCTTATTTTTAGTGCCTGCAGCCCTGCTCCCAGGACAGCTGGCCTACTTCCCCTTTCTCAGGGGAGGGGATAGCACTGGGGCACACAGGGGTGCTCCTGAGGGGCGTTAAGCAGGGGGATCAAGTGGGGGTGCAGCTTCCTCTCCCTGGGAAGCCTCTGGTTTTAGCCCACCTGCCCTCCTTCTGTCCACCCCTGCTTCATCAGGCAGGGTTTCCATGTGCTCAGGGCTCACCTTCAGAGGGGCTTGACCCACATTAGAGTGGTAGAAGTGGGAGTGGGGTGGGCAGCTTGGGAGAGTCTCTATCACCATCCCCACCCATAAACATCCCAAGGAAACTGAGGCCTGCCGAAGGAAGAGGCCAGCCTGGCACTTGCCAGCAGACTTCCATATTCTCAGAAGCAGGCCAGGAGGATAAAGGGCCAGCCCTTCATAGACAATGTATCTGAGAGGCATTCCCTGACACCACGGACTTCTGTGGGACCTGCTCTGACCTCCTCCTTCCCAGCTCCCTCCTTCAGAAAGCTGCAAGTCCCTTCTCTCATTCTCTCCATTTGTGCCAAAAGTGGGTGTGGTCAGGTATGGGTCAGGGTCCCCTTTCCCTCCAGCCAACACCCTGGAATGTTAGTTCACGTTCAGTCCTTGTGTTTTGAAGCACATTACAGGGATGCTTGTAAAATGAACGAATAAATGAATGAACAAAAATACAAGCCAGTCCATGGAGACCCCAAATCTTCCACAGATTGGCCCTTTGCACCCATCTATCCTAGGCTGGCCTGAAGTGCATCCCAGCCTTCTGCAGCTCGTGCCTAAGGTGGGCCCTGCTTTTAGGCTCTTCTTGCTGGGTTGTTTTATTGCCTTATGACCTGAGCCTAGCCAGTCCTCATTCCCTCTGGGAGCCTCAGGTTCCTTATTTGCACCAAGTGTGGACTGTCCTGTAACCCTATACTGTCAGGAACCAATGAGTCAAGGATCCTGTCTTTGCCTTGTGCCTCTGAGTGACCTGGGATGGGGCCTGCCTATCACCTGGCTTCCTTTTGCTTTCTCAGTGTCCCCTGAGCCCCGCCCCTCAGCCTCAGCCTAGTCTCTCAGTCTCTGAAGGACAGAACTCACCCTCCTCTCCCCCCACAGAACCCCAGAGAGACGAGAGAGACTAGGTGGCCAGAGCCACTGCCTCCACTTAAATCACATTCCCTCACAGCCTCCTGTGTCCAGACCATCAATGAATGGCTGTCGAAAGATCCTGATGGGTTTCTGTGTCTGTGAGATCCAGAGCACTACATAGCTTCTGTGGATGCTCTGTACCTGTGGTTGGGGCCAGTTTGCTCAGGAGTAGGCTTCATTTGGAGACGGGCATCAGTCAGGACCAGCTCAGAGTCACATAAAGTAGGAGATTCAGAAAGCTGCCGATGTCCCTCAGAGCCTAGAGTTCCAGGGGAACTTTCTGAGTCTCAGGGTACAGGGACCTGGCTTCTTCCATAGTTCTGCTCTCTGCCCCTCAAGAACCACACTATCTTGTCCCTCCTGTATTAACTTGGCAGCCTCCTTCTTTTCTGTACCTCAGACCCACCACCCTGGCATCAAGTGATTAAGGCCTACAGCATCAGGGTCTCACTGAACATGTTACTCCTTCAGGCAATGTCCCCAGCCTCCATCAAAAGCCACCAGACCCAAGAGTAGAAAAAGTGCTGTAGGGCCCTTGCACCATCCAGACGCATGCCACCACCAACAGTATCCACATTCATCAGAAGCCGTTCTTTGCAGCTGCCTCTGGGCTCTTGCCGAGGCTCTTCCCTCTGCCTGAATACTCTTGCTCAGAATCCTCTCTGGGCTCAAGCTGTGTCCCCTTGAGGCTTCCCAATCCCTTCTTCCCTAGTCTGTGTCTGCCTGTCTTGTTACATCACCATCCATCCTGTGGCTGACCCAGGAGGTCAGCCAATACTTGGATTCCTGTGGGACCCCGGGACCAATAGCCCAGCCTGGTGCCTGCCTTTGCACACAGAGTCTGATGTTTGGGACATGTTAAAACCAGTTTTTCCTCTGTATCCTCCAGGGCCCTCCTCACAAGGCTACCACTGCTCTGTTCTACAGGAGGAAATGCTGAGGCCCATGGCTGGCCCATGGCCCGTTCACTTACCTGCGTGACACAGGTCCATTCTGAAACCCTGGGGGAAGGTGGTCCAGCTGTTTGTCTTGTTAGCTCAGCTGCTGCTCTGGTGGGTGGCTGACAGGGACAGTCACCACACCTTCCTGCCCACCCCGCCCAGACCCTGTGGGAGGAAGTCAGCCCTGGCCACAGGGTCTGTGCGCAGGCTCCTGACACAGCACACACTTCCTAAAGACAGTTGTGTGTCACCAGCTAGCCTGGATCCTGGCAAATGAGTATTAGGAGGGTGGGAAATGGAAGAAAGGGGGGGATCTGGTAAAGAAAGACACATACATACACACATGCACACACACATGCATACACACACACATGCGCACATATACGCATGTACACACACATTCAGTCACTGGGGAAGAAGGTACTGAGAACAGGCCCTCTCTGGGGGTGTGTAGGACTTTACTCAGCAACCTCCTTATATACAAGCCAAGGGAGTTTCTGCTTCTAGGGTCCTCTCTGAGCTCTTCTTCAATTCTCACTAGAGGAAAGACACATTCATTCAGTGATGGGCAGGGCTTACTCCCTTCAAAGAAACTTGCCTAATTTCCCTTCCTCCTCAGGCTGCTGGAAAACTCACCATCAAATCTGTTCAATTATTCCGTGTGACTTTGCAGCCAGATTAGGTTGTTTGACTCTCAGCTCTTCCATTCAGGACTCATGTGACTTTGGGCTTAGTTACACATTTGTACTGAGTCGCACTTTGGCTGCCTGTGAAAGGAGGGAACATAGAAAGGACAGTGTGAGACTCTTGGAACATAGTAGGTACTCAAGAAATGTTTTTCTTTTTGGCTTTAGTTCCCCCCACCTCATGGTTGGTTGAAATTCACAGCCTCATAGCTTAGGTCTTTTCTGGCATATTCATTCAAATCCTATAGGGAAAGGGGGAGGGCACAAGGAAACATCCAATCAGACAAAGGCTTACTCCTTGGAAATCAGTCCACATCTTGGTTTACTGATCTGAGGGCCAGGTCACCTTTGTATCCTATGATGTCTTAAAATGTGAGGACAATGGGAGTGCTCAAGTGAGGATGAATGAATGAATGAATGAATGATGAATGAATGAATGAATGAATGAATGAATGAACCATCAGAGGGGTGGTCGCTGGAGCTAGGACCACAGGCAGCAGGAAGCTGGGAACTAAGAGCAGGTGCTGGGAGGTGGGGTAACTCAGGAGCTGCAGGAGGAGCAGGGATCAGAGGTCAAAGGTCCCACTGTTGTGTCTAAGTTAACTCTTAGGAATTGCTCCTGCCCCTGAGACTCCTCCTAGCATCACTGACCTAAAGCAGAGGGCTCAAGTGGGGAGATATCACTGGGCCTGGGTTATGGTGGGAGGGACCCCATGTTGGGTTCAGCCCAGGGCAGGCAGAACAGAAGAATGCCAGGCATAAGATGGGCTTTGGGAGTCCCACTGCATGTGAGAATTGATGCCAGAGTTACTTCCGGGGAGACAGAAACATGTACCCCCTTCTTTTACAGTCCCAAGATCAAACCAAAATATGGTTCCCTTGAAGTTCATCCTGGAGAACCAGTGTATCTTTAGGCTTACTTTTAGACCCTGGGTGAGGGGCCGTTGCAGGAGTGGGAGTGGCCCAATGCATCTATCCTGAATGTCTTCATCCAGCAAGGATGATGGCAGCCCTATAACTGCAGCCCTCACTACCGCCTCCATTGACTCCAGGGCCATGTGCAATCTGGGCAGGATTACCCTCAAGTGGCTGGGAGGAGTAGCTGGAAGGAACTTCAGGTGAGGGTAGAGCGACCAATCTCATGCCTTCTTCCGTGATGGAATGTCAGTCAACAAGCTTGGTTTCAATGGTGCTATACCGCTTGGAACACAGCTCTTTACCAGTGTCTTTCGTGCATCTGAAAGACAGAACGAAGATGCCTCCTTCAGGTGACACGGTGACTATACTGGGTTTACCATGTCCCTGACAGTAGGACAGATCTGCATACAGTAGGAGGTCAACACTTGCTTTTGGGAAGGAGGAAGCTCAGGTTGTTTGGGGAGGGTCAAGAATGTGGTGGCTGGTGGGGAAGGACGAATACGGTGTCAGCTGCAACTCATGGGACCCTGAGGACTTTCTAGGCTCCAGCTTCAGTGTCCCTGCTCCTGAGCCATTGTGACTACTGTCAGACCCAGCATCCCTCTCTCTAAAGTGGGACACAGAGTATCTCATTGGAGCTTGGGGGTGAGGGAGAGGTGATAACATGATGCTGGTCTGTTGTCTCTACTGTGCCCTTCTTGGGCTCCCAGGATCCTCCAGGCCTGGGCTCAGGTAGGGCCTTGCTTGTCCTTGCTGGGATTTAGGAAAGTTGCTCAGGGCAGAGGACTCCTCACAGCTACAGTCATATCCCTTGGGGACTCTGTGAAGGTGGTCTGAGGCCCCTTCACCATTGTGCTAGGATGCTTGGGACTCAAGTAACAAAATGTCCTCTTATCAGTGTGGAGATGTCAATGCACACTCTGGGCTGTAGCCTTCAGAAGTAAAATTACTGGAATACATAAGGAAGCTGTATCTGTGCCGTGTTAGAGGCATGACATCACCAAGTGCCACATACACCAGGACTTTCTTGCAGCATGCTGTCTGGGAAATCAGCTTCACCAGGGCTCTGGCATGCTTCTCCTTTTGCAACGAGGAGAACTGAGTCACTCGCTCAGTTCTCTTTTTGCCTCAGCTGCCAGGAAGCTCGGGAAAATCTGGAGGTCAGCTGCAGCATCCCATAGTTGGGCATAGCTCCCTCCAAATTTCCTGTTACTGGCTTCTGTGGATGTGGGAGGTGTGGTCATAGGGAAAGGCAGATTCTGGGAATCAAAAGAAAGGAAAGAGGAAGAAAAAAGGGGCTAGATGAGGTATGGTGGCAATGGCATTGGAGGAAAGACCTAAAGTTCTAGGCATCACCATGCTGTGTGTTCTTGGGCCCTGTGAGTATTCAACACATATCTATGAAGTCAAGGGGCAGGGCACATTTACTCAAGAGCTCCAGAAAATGAGACCAAAAGAGTCTGATTCCCTGAGCAAAGAGCATCCAACAAGGCTTGGGTCTGCTGAAGGTTCTCTTGAGGATGAAGGAGGTGCTGGAGACACTGGACAGCAGATCTGAGAAGATCTAATATTCAGGGCCAGTATCTTTTTTTGTCCTTAAGCTGGAGTGTCCTTGAGATGCTATGGACTCTCGACTCCTAGGCCAGTCTGCTAGAGCTCTCCAGATCCATACACCATCTCCCTGCAAAGAACATCATCTGCTCTTAATTAAGGAACAAGATCAGGGAGCCTTTGGGCCACACTTCAATGTCATCTGGATACTATCAGATGAACTGGGCTGTAAGAAGTGCAGGGGCAGATGGCCTACAGAGCGGCTCAGAGCAGAGCTCCTCACTCAGCTACGTACCTTGTAATTAGCAGTTCCAGCACTTAGCGTCTTGGTTGTTTAGATATTTCTGCTCAGAATTTACGACACAGGGCAAAGAGAAAACAACAAGAGAAAGGTTAAGCATGAAAGGGCAATGTGCACAGAATGCGTTGGCAGTAGTGTGACCACACACCGGAGCAGTAACTCAGTAGTTAAGAGCACTGGCTGTTTTTCCAGAGGACCTCAGTTTGATTCCCAAACCCACATGGCAGCTCACAGTCATTTGAAACTCCAGCTTTGGAGGACATGATGCCCTCTTCTGGTCCCTGCAGGCACTGCATACACATTTCCGTAGCCACACAAATACACATAAATAAAAATGAACCTTAAACAAAAATAAAATTGAGTAGTCTAGACACAATTTGACTGCCATTACTACTGTCCCACCTCTGAGGGCCATTGTCACTTTCCCAGATGTGATGGTCCCTGGCAGCCCTTTGGTTCCTAGCCTTGCCCCACCCCCTACTATGCCCCTCCCTTAATAGTATCTGAAGTGGTTGTCTAAAACTCAATTCTGGTTAGTTAGACTTGAAACCACAGTAGGACTCTAATAGTTATTTGGCCATAGATGTTAACAGTAGCCAGAAGGTGGAGTCAAACATCCACAGATAGGTGGTATGCACACATGCAATTCACCCCTCAAACGGAAAGCATCCTGTCATGGGTTACAGTATGGATCAGTCATGAGGGCACTAAGCTGAGGAAGTAAGGCAGCCACAGAACACAGAGCTGCAGGATTCCACTACAGGAGTTTCCCTAGGACATCAGATCCAGAGACAGAGGGACTCATGGTTGCCAGGGTCAGGGGAGGAGGGGGAGTTGTTATTTAATGAATGTAATTCCAGTTTTGAAAGATGGAGAATGTTCTAGAGAGGGCTGGAAATAGTGATTGCCTATTATGAACACACTTCAAACTGGCAAAACCAATAAATTTTATGCCTATTTTGCCACAATTTAAACAAACACAGCTCTATTACATTTTAAATTATTCTTGTGCAATGTGTTAAGGAACATGTGGGTGTCTGGTCATGTATGGGATAGTCAGAGGACAACTGCAAGAGTTAGCTCTCTCCTTCTATCCTGTGGGTCCTGAGGGTGAAACTCAGGCCATCCGGGTTGGCAGCAAGCACCCTTACCTGCTGAGGCTGACCCTAAACAAACAAAACTCCAACAATCTTCCTCAAAGGAAACAGAACAAAATCCCTTCAGTGACTTCCATACCCTGCAAGACTCTCTGCCCTCTGCATTGAGACTTTCTGGCTAGCTCATTGCATGTGGTATGTGGAGTGTCTATTGGATGAGTCAATGGCTCTGCCACAGCTGCCACACTCCATCCAGGCAAAAGGCAAGGGGTGACTTCCAAAGGTTGGGATCTCCTCCCTCCTCTCATGGGGGGTGGTGACACTCCCTTCTAACACTGGGCTGCACTGAGAGCTAAGCCACAGGTTTCACACTGCCTGGTGTGAGGTAGGGTTCTATGCCTTGCTGGGTGGAGGAAGTCCCTCTCCAGGGTGGGAGGAAGGTAGCTCATGATAGTTCAGATCTGTGTTCAGCTTGAGCTCTAGAGTCATATGGGAGATGGCCATTGTGTGTGCCTGTAGGAGACTACCTTGATTGGGTTAATGAAAGTGAGAAGGCCTGCTCACTGTGGGTAGCGCCATTCCCAGGCTTGGGATCCTGGACTGTAGAAAAAGGAGACTACAAGC